TACATATTTCCATTTATTTTTCTTGAGTGGGAATGTGCTCTTTTCCAGCAGGAATTTCCTCTTTTGTGTATACTTTAGGCAGCTGATAAAAATCATTGCCTTCGATGCAACTCACTTCAAGACCTTTGACAAAGGAAGTGTCAATCATTTTCTCCTGACCCATGGTTTTTAAGACGATTTTTGTTCTCTTGCCCTTGGCATGCACATCTTGTTGAAGGGCTTGAGTACAACAACTTGCAGTGCTTCCCTGATCCATAAATGCGTAAGTCTGCACAGTCTGGTTCGAGTTTGACAACTTTATTTGAACTGGGATAATTGGTAGGGTTTGTTGACCACCGGCCCCAGTGTGGTTTCTGCCATTTAAAGAGACTAATGCACTACTTACAGAAGCTGCTTGGGTGTAATTATCAGAGTTGTCTTTTTGTTCAATCTTTTTCTTGTAGATGTGCAATATTGTTGGATGTTTCATTGAACAAACTTCACATTTCATTCTTTTCTGACAGTCTTTGCTTAGATGTCCTTTCGTTAGACAGCCAAAGCAAATTTGATGACAAAAGATGGCGCCTGTGTCGGCTCGCCGCTCCCTCAGCTCTCTACCTTTTAGCTATCCTGTTTTTGTTTTATGTTTGTCAGAATGTCTCTGCTCTGCTCGTTTACGATCGCCAAGCTCTCCTCCACCTCAGACCCTCACTGGAGTTGATATTGCTGCCCAAACCTACATCTGGCAACCATAAATCGTCCCCCCCCCCCTCTACTGTCGAATATTCCCACCTACCTGCGCCGGTTGCCCTGCATCCTGCCTCGCCGAAAGCGCTTTAGACGACGGGGAAAGCGTGGTGGTGCACTGGTCCATCTTAAGGCATACCTGACGGCTTCTCCTGGGACTTATCCACGCCTCGGATGTCATGGCCCTCCCGCTGCACGCCATGTGAGGGATCGGTGGATTCGCCCTGTTTTTCCGGAGCTGCGGACTCTGCTGGGCCCGCTGGCAGCTCCTCCTGCCCCGACTGACTGCTCCCGGCCCGCGCGGCGTTCAACACGCACATCTTCGTCAGCTGAGAACTTTGCATGGCTTTGCTAAATGCTAGGTCGATAGCAAACAAAACGTTCCTGCTAAACGACTTCTTCACCTCTCGTGAACTGGATTTTATGTTCCTGACGGAGACCTGGGTCCACGCTGGCGAGTATACACCGTTCTCTGAACTTCTTCCTCCTGACTGTACATTCTCCAGCTCCCCCCGTGCCACCGGCCATGGTGGGGGCATAGCATCAGTGTTTAGAGCTAGCCTCCAATGCTGATTGCTTCACCCTGTAACTAGCTATGCTAGCTTTGAGTTGCAGCTTTTTGAACTGAACCCGGCCTCGCCTATACTCTGCGCAGTCGTGTATCGTCCGCCAAAGTGCAATAAGGATTTCATAAGTGACTTTTCTGACTTTCTGTCCGGGATCATGGTGAAATATGATCGTGTTTTGATCTCCGGAGACTTCAATGTCCATGTGTGTTGCGAGTCCAAACCTCTGGTTAGGGACTTTTTAAATCTCCTTGATTCTTTTGGTCTCGTTTAGTCCGTGGCTGGCCCAACACACGAAAAAGGACACACTTTGGACTTAGTATTATCGTTTGGACTGTCTGTATCTGTGGATGAAATATGTGCAGCAACGCGTATCTCAGACCATTTACCGGTTCTGTTTACAACCTCCATCCCTTCCGCAGGAGTCGAATCACGTGCCCCTGCGCGTCGTCTGCGTTCGATTAACCCCTTGACTGCCTCACAGTTCTCTGATGTTTTTAATGCTTCTCCGATCTGTAAATTAGATGTGAACTGTGCTTTTAATGCTGATGAGCTTATCTCCATGTTTGACTCGACATGCACACTAATACTGGATTCTGTTGCTCCTTTTACGCTTAGACGCACCAAAGTTCTATCAGAGCCGTGGCTCAATGACTGTACTCATGCTCTCAGACGCGCTTGCAGACGTGCAGAGAGAAAATGGAAATAGGATAAACTCCATGTCTCCCTAGAAATCCTTCGTGCTTGCCTTTCTGACTGCCAGACGGCAGTCAAAGCAGCCAAAACAGAGTACATTTCTCTGTTAATCTCCAAAAACAGCCATAAACCTCAGGTTCTTTTTAATGTCCTCAACTCTATCATTAATCCCTGTGATGTTTCTTCTATTGTCCCATCGACTACTCTCTGTGATAAGTTTCTTAAAACATTTTTATTGAAAAAGTATCTGCTCTTAGGCTAGCCCACACTAGTGCTACCCCAGATCCTGCTCCTTTTCTGTGCCCTGCTGTCCTCGACCACTTTGAGCCTGTATCCCTCTCTTCTCTCTCGGATGTAGTCAAGCACCTGCGGCCGACAAACTGCACCTCAGACAGCATTCCCTCTCGCCTTCTCAGAGATGTTTTTGATTCAGTTGGAGCAAGTATTTTATTACTTTTAAACACCTCTCTTAGCTCAGGATGTGTCCCAGCTGCCTTCAAACATGCCGTGGTTAAGCCACTACTTAAAAAGAAAAATCTCTACCTTTTTTATCAAAAGCCCTGGAGCGAGTAGTCTACGCCCAGCTGCAGTCTTTTTTAACCATGCATGGAATCCATGAAAAGTTTCAGTCTGGCTTCAAACCCATGCACAATACTGAAACAGCCCTTTTAAGAGTTTTTAATGATCTGCTCCTAGCCGCCGACTCAGGTAGCTCCGCTGTCTTCGTGCTGTTAGACCTGACAGCTGCCTTTGACACTGTGGACCATCGCATCCTGTTGTCACGGCTTGAACAGTCCGCTGGCATCACAGGCTCTGCCCTTGCATGGTTCAGGTCCTACCTGACAGACCGTAGCTTCTCGGTACAGCTAGGTGCCTTCTCCTCTGCCAAAGCCCCTCTTACCTGTGGGGTTCCCCAAGGCTCGATTCTGGGCCCCATCCTTTTTCTACTGTACATACTGCCCCTAGGTTCAATTCTCACAAAACATAATATTCCCTTCCACTGCTACGCCGACGATGTACAGATATATCTGCCTCTCAAAGCAAATGTCAAACACTCACTACAGCAGTTGATGGACTGCTTAACAGAGATAAAATCCTGGCTGAGCAAATACTTTCTCAACCTCAACGAGAGCAAGACTGAGGTCATCTTTTTTGGACCCCAACCTCCAGCCTCTCCGGTTGATATTCTGGGCTCTCTCAAAAAAAACATCCTCCCCTCGGTCATGTACCTTGGAGTGACCTTCACTAGCACTTTTAAATTCGACAAGCAGGTCAGCACTGTAGTCAAATCCTGCTTTTTTAAAATAAGACTATTGGCCAAAACCAAGTCGTATTTATCTTTTAATGACTTAGAAAGGGTTATTAACGCCTTTGTTACCTCAAGACTGGACTATTGCAACGCTCTGTATGTGGGTATGGACCAGATCTCAATTAAACGCCTGCAGCTGGTCCAAAACGCAGCTGCACGTTTGCTGACTGGCCACAAAAAGCGTGACCACATCACCCCAATTCTGGCCTCACTACACTGGCTTCCAGTTCGGTTCAGAATTGATTTTAAAATCCTTTTATTTGTTTTTAAAGCACTAAATGGGCTGGCTCCGGCCTATATAGCCAAACTCCTCCAGCGCTACACCCCAGCCAGAGCTTTAAGGTCTGCTGACCAGCTGCTGCTGGTAGTGCCCAAGAACAGGCTTAAAACCCGAGGGCACCGAGCCTTCGCAACAGCTGGCCCTAGGCTCTGGAACACTCTGCCCCTCCATGTGAGGTCGGCCCAGACCCTAGGGTTTTTTAAATCTACACTAAAAACACACTTCTTCTCTCTGGCCTTCTAGTTAGAGCGGAGTACGACTCCTGACTTTTCCTTGTGTTTTATTTTAATTTTTTATATATATCTGTTGTAATTTATTGTCTTTTATTGTGATTGTAGTAATGTGTTTTTATTACATGTACAGCACTTTGGCTCGACCAAAAATCGCTTTTAAATGTGCTTTATAAATAAAACTTGATTTGATTTGAAATTCCTTGTGCTTTTAAGCAGTCAACCTTTTCATTGTGAGATTTTTTGTTCATGTTACATGTTTCAGAGGTGTGTTCTCCTGCACAAAATACACAGCGCCTCTTAACAGTAATGCCTTTATGGTCTGATTTGATGTTTTGGAAAGGTTTTTGCTCCTCACTGATTATTGGGCTTGTCACAGTAACACAACTACTTCCCTTATAACCATGAGCTGGCTTATTGCTGGGTGATTTGTACACTTTAATATCCCTTTTTGGCATGACATCCTGTATGTCTCCAAACATGGGGTCTGATGCAATGTGTGCATGCTTTTCAATGAAGTCGACCAATATTGGAAACTTTGCTCTTGTCTTATTGTGTTCATAGTATGCATATGCAGTTGTTCTCCACTTTTCCCTAAGTTTAAATGGGAGTTTCATGATCACATTTCTCATGTTTGATGTGCTATTCATTTCATCCAAAAACTCAACATCTTCCATTGTGTTGCAACATCCACGAGCATAATAATGCAGTGCTTTTCTATCTTCACTCTTGATGGCATTCCAGTTCAACATTTTGTCCAAACAAGCTGCTGCGATTAAGAGTTGATGTCCATAGTTACGTCACTTGGTACCAGGAAGAAAAAGAGAAATCTCCAACGAGGCGTTCTGGGGCAGCATAGACAGGCCTTTTCTGTGTTAGAATTGTACTCGCTACAGGGTGTACTTTGAGGGTTTGTGACTCTGCAGACCGTTTACATGCATAAAAAGCTACATAACACACAAGGGCACGGGTAATAACTGGAAAAGAATGACATGGGACCTTTAAATGTTAAGAAGCCCTCAGACGCTGTTTCTTGCAAGATGTTGCGTTTTGCCCCCGCGAAAATGTCATTGCAGTATCATTACTTTTACATTAGAAGGTGCTGTACATTTTTCTGTTAATACTTGCGAACGTTTACTTAAATAAGGTTTGAATGCAAGATTTTAATTTGTAACGGAGTATTTTCATTCTAGAGGCATAGTGTATCTGAACAATGCCAAATACAATTCCTTGTTTACATTGCAGCTACTGCTAAACTGGAACTGGAAAGGGGCTGGGCTACAGAAGGTGAATTGAGACAACAAAAATACACAATAGGTGGGACTAAAAGATAATATGAAAGTAAAAACAAAGGCATTATTAGGGCTGCAAAATATCTCCCATTTAATGGTGATCAGATTTTGAATTGCTAATACTTAACAGTTTTTTCTGACTGTGTGTTTCCTGTTACCTGCAGACGTCCAGCTACTGGTGGTGGTTAAAGAAGAGGTTCTCCCTGACCAGCAGGATTGGAGCACCAGTCTGGACCAGGAGGACCCAGAGCCCCCCCCACACATTAAGCAGGAACAGGAGGAACTCAGGATCAGTCAGGAGAGAGAGCAGCTTCAGGAGCTGGAGGAGGCTGATATCACCAAGTCCACTTTCACTCCTGACCCTGTGAAGAGTGAAGATGATGAAGAGAAACCTCAGTCCTCACAGCCTCATCAAAGACAAACTGAACACATGGAAACAGAAGCTGATGGAGATGACTGTCGAGGACCAGAACCAGCCAGGAACTCAGATCCAGAGAGCAGTTTACAACCAAAGACTGAGTATGCCACTGGAGACTCTTCTGAACCTCACATTGGAAACTCTTCTGAACCTCACATTGGAAACTCTTCTGAACCTGACACTGGAGACTCTTCTGAACCTGACACTGAAGACAGTGCTGATTGGAAGGAGACCAGAGAATCTGCTTCAGCCTCAAAATCACTGAAAAATAGACAAGAATCTCTCAGTGATTCAAGCCGTAGTGCTATAAAGAAACAATTTGGCTGCTCTGTGTGTACGAAATATTTTGCATTAAGTCAAACTTTAAAAAAACACATGAGAATCCACACAGGAGAGAAACCATACAGATGCTCAGTCTGTAAGAAATCTTTTTCACAGAGTGGAGGTTTAAAGGAACACATGAGAATCCACACAGGAGAGAAACCCTTTAGCTGCTCATTTTGTACCAAATCTTTTGCATTTAGTAACAGTTTAAAAAAACACATGAGAATCCACACAGGAGAGAAACCATACAGATGCTCAGTCTGTAAGAAAGCTTTTTCACAGAGTGGAGGTTTAAAGGAACACATGAGAATCCACACAGGAGAGAAACCCTTTAGCTGCTCGGTTTGTACCAAATCTTTTGCAGTTAGTGACAGTTTTAAAAAACACATGAGAATCCACACAGGAGAGAAACCATACAGATGCTCAGTCTGTAAGAAAGCTTTTTCACAGAGTGGACATTTAAAGGAACACATGAGAATCCACACAGGAGAGAAACCCTTTAGCTGCTTGGTTTGTACCAAATCTTTTTCACAGAGTGGACATATAAAGGAACACATGAGAATCCACACAGGAGAGAAACCCTTTAGCTGCTTGGTTTGTACCAAATCTTTTTCAGTGAGTCGAAATTTAAAAAAACACATGAGAATCCACACAGGAGAGAAACCATACAGATGCTCAGTCTGTAAGAAAGCTTTTTCACAGAGTGAAAGTTTAAAGCTACACATGAGAGTCCACACAGGAGAGAAACCACACAGCTGCTCAGTCTGTAAGAAAGGTTTTTCACAGAGTAGAGGTTTGAAGACACACATGAGAGTCCACACAGGAGAGTAAATATACAGCTGCAATGTTTGTGACAAAAGATTTAAATGGCATGGTTATTTCAAAAGACACAAGTGTGTTGGTCATCAGTCCTCACAGCTTAATGAAATTCAAACTGAGGATAACAGAGAGGCAGAGCCTCCAATCACCTGAACACATGGAAACAGAAGCTGATGGAGAGGACAATGAATAAGTCTTAAAGAGCCCATGTCATGGCCATTTCCACTGATCATAATTCCATTGTTGAGGTCTACTAAAATAGATTTATACTGTGCAATTTTCCAAACTCAAATTGGTTTCGCATACAGCATCTCTGTAAAGTATGTGTATTCACCGGTATTCACTCTCTGCCCTGAACGGTAGCTCGGTTAGGAACGCCAACTATAATGTACTGACCGTAGGGTAAATCACCCGGAGTATACTGTCTATGAGTATTTTGTGTGTGAAGGCAGACATTCTCCTGCTATGAGAAACATGTAAGGCCATCTGCTGACATTGTAGTTGATATATGTAAACGCTAGCAACTTCGTTAGCCCAGTTAGCACTGTTTTGAACTGAACCTGAGATTCCAACAGTATATATGCTTGGCTGGCAGAGGGTGCGTCATAGCTCTGGGCGTGGCTACTGGGTATCCAGACGTCACGATGCCCAGGAAGAACTTGAGAAATCTCCAACGAGGCGTTTTGGGGAGGTATTTTCTGTGTTAGAGTTTACTCCCTACAGGGTGTACTTTGAGGGTTTTTGACTCTGCAGACCGTTTACATGCATAAAAACCTTCATAACACACAAGGGGACGGGTAATAACCGGAAAAGCATGACATGGGCCCTTTAAGACAGTTCACACATGAGAAAAATCTGTCTGACTGGATTAACATTGTCGCACAACATTCATAAAATACTTAAGTGAACTCCATCTTTATCAACATAAGTGGACAATATGTTTAATGTTTTTGTCATACTGATTTTCTGATTCATACATTAACCACTGACTGTTGATGAACCATTTTATTTTGGATTGAGGGCTCCAAGTTTCCATATAAAGATATAGGATGATTTGATGTATTGTTCTTTATTTCTAAATGTTTGGTATCATTGCTATACTGTTAATGAGCCCTGTTTTACATAAATGTACCTGTTATCTGATTGTTTTTGCCTCTGTAACTGTAAGGGAAGTAGGGCTGCACGATATATCGTGTCGTGAGGATAATCACGTTATACGCATGCAGGACGATTTTTATTTAATTTAATTTATTTTTTAGGACGTTCGATAATAAGTCGGCAAATTAACTCAAATCTCTTATGATCCTAAGTTTTAAATGCTTTTGACTAGTGATTGCCTTAAAGCAAATCTTTAAGCTGTTTCTGGTTTTGATTTTATAGTTTGATAAATGACATTAACTAATGGTTTAAATGATAAAAGATATTAGTTTAAAACAAATATTTTGCTATTATGTATCTGTGTTTTATGTGTGTTCATTATTATGCTTTTGACAAAAGATGCTCCAAACACTGATGAGAGATAATTTTTCCTATTATGATTGCCTGTATCAATCATTGTGATTGAATGTTTCAATCTTATTCTACTTTGTGATGTAATTGAATGTAAGGTGAGACCACACTCGAATCTGAAGACGCCTATTGATTTAAGTATTGACCAGAATTATTAGACTAATGTTTTAAGGTTATCAAAAATGATAAAAAGAGAGGAACTGTTAAGGAATAATTCTTCTAGATATCTAACCTTTTACTCTGACATGTGTTATCTCCTCTAAGGAAAGGCCTTGGTGCCATATGTGTTGTTGTCACCAGTGTGAGACCGGTCAACTTGACTGGCACGTAGGGTAATTGTTGTGAGAACACTGAAGCACTTCTTTATCGGTGTTTGTGGGCTCTCGGATGTGAAATCCTTGAGGCCATGAGCGTTGGACGCAGATGATTCAGTGTTTAGTCTACTCCTTCAGAGATGTTGATTTCTCTTTGTGAACCTGTTAAAAGGTCTAGCATAGAGAGAGGTTCTTCAGAATTGACGTGGCAACTCTACCGTGTGGTCAGAACCTCTGACTCTTTGATTTGTGATGTGAATCCTCCGGCCGAATACTCTGAATAAACCCATCAGTGTTTGACATCAAAGCTCCAACTCTCACCGTGTCTCCTTCCTGAGTCGGTGACTCCATGCATTACTACACAGAAGTTTCCTCCACACACGTCATATTACAATTATTTTGCTGCTTGTTACAAAAGGAAAACTCGCGCGGCTCTCATGTCAGGGGTACTTGAGTAAGTGACATGCAGGCTCTGCATGCACAGCAAACCACCAATCACAATCATTCTTGATCAGATCACAGCAGGATAACCGAGCTAGCTCAGCTTGTTGCTCTGATAACTTAAGATCCAGAAGTCTGTGACTAAAATCCTTCATCCGGTTAAATATCGTTAAAAAAAGACCAATTGTATAGCATGAAAGTTCAAAAAAGGATAGCTTGCGGACAAAAAAAAACTGTCTTTTCTTCAATTCCTGTATTTTTTCATATCGCAATATATATCGCAGAGGAAAAAATATTGCAATGTCAGTTTTTTCCAATATCGTGCAGCCCTAAAGGGAATACATTTGCCTATTTTGTATCCTGATGACCTAATGCCGTTACATGTAATACGTTACTCTCTAAGCCTGATTTCACCCACCTGCAACCGATTCGCTAATAATCACAAATGTTAATTTCTTTGACCCCTTGACTCGACTATTTCTTGTTTAATAATCGTTACATGTCCTCAGGACCAAGTTCCCGTTTCCTGCCTTTCACCTGCTGATCACCCACTGCTCATTTAAGGTGGACTGACCTTTACAATGGACCAGCTAGTCTTATGGCGCATTTCCACCACACGGTCGGCCTCGGCCTCGCTCGGTACTGCTAGGCCGCGTTGGGCCTTGTTAGGGCCGGCTCACTTCATGCTGCGCTTCCATTACAGTTTAGGAACTGGGGTAGTTACTATAGTAACGCAGTGTAGGCAGAGCCGTAACATCATCTTCAATGAGAACCCCAGAAAAACAACACAGCCGTTAGCTGTTAGCACTCAAGCTCACAGCTCCTCATATCTGTTCAGAAACTAGACAAAAGTTAAACAAGTACAAACCACAGACTGTCTGTCATGGCGAATACAGTCGCTGGTTTATTTATGTCTGTATAGGCCGTTGTTGTGAGTGTGGACGGTCGGAGCATATATTGCGTTGGCTTAGCCAATCTCCATCTAGAAAACACGCATTTTAAAAGGTTTTTCGCCTGCCGTCTGTCTGCAGACTTGTCAAAGCATTAATTCATGGTTTTTACTAACCGGTATCAGTATGTTGTTACTTTGGCATCATTTTGAAACGTGTATTACAATTAAATCACGGTCAAATATGTTCATCTTGTTGTAGCCGGAACTAGGCCTAGTGGAAGCGCAACCAAAAACGGGCCCAGCACGACAGGGCACGCTTAAACCGCGCTCCGCGCCATGGTGGAAATGCATTAGTGTCTTAATGCAAACGTTTTGTAAAGTGATGCTAGACCAAAAACGTGCTGTTGGGTTGTGTGCTCTCTGCAGGACAGTGTCTGTACTCAAAGATTGTTATGAAATGAAAGCTTTACTCTGTTTTTGTTGTCCAAACGACGCCAACAGAACGATACGTCTTCTTTCCAGCAGATGGCATAAATGTTACATCATCCAGTTCAACTGTCATCCACATATTAATAATTCAAAACAGAAATGTGTAAGATATGGCTAGTAATTGACTATTTCAACTAGGGCTGTCAAGTTAACACGTTAATAACCCCACAAATTATTTTAACGTGCGATTAACGCATGTATATTTTTTCTCGGCCCGCCCCGTAGTTTCAGAGCCCAAAGGCTTGACGTTGTTGTTGTTAGTTGGATGGTGGGAGATTCTAGCGAGAGATATGGATAAAAAAAAAGGTGTTTTAAACAGCAAGCCAAGCCCACAGCTGATGCTGACAGCCAGGCGCGCCGGATTCATTTTAGAAGTGGGGGGGGCCAAAAAAGTGCGTGTGTATGGCCCAATCCCAAACCACGCCCTACACACTCCCCCTCCGTGACGGAGTGAACTCCGTGGAGTGACACATGAGGTTCCCTCCTGTCAGATGGAGGGAGTAAATACAGCGGCAAGGGACAAACATCTCTCCGGCAGAAACAGGAAATGCCGTAACTGTATGTAACAACGGTTTCAAATCAGCATCTCTTTGACAAAAAATGTAAATTTATAACTCAAATAAAACTCCAAACATCTTTAATTGTGTTACTTTTTTGTAAAGCTCTTTTAGTTTTAAACCTGATGTTTATAAGCTTCTTAGTTTTTGCAACAGTCTGTAAATATACACAACTTTATAATAAAATGCACACATTTACCTTTTTCTAGACAAAACACAGGTAGCCTATGATCCTAAGTTAAAAACATATGAGGTTATCATGAGGTTGTTAACATCGCAGTTTATCAGTGGGTTATTGATTCTGCGTCAGTCTTAGGACAGTCATACATTCCTATGAAGTCTTCATGGACAACATAATCAGCTGATACCCATCGTACAGTCAGAGACAACTGTTCATGGAGGCTTTGGGCACTTTTTCCAGTTATTAACTCCGATATTAACAAAGCTATCATCTTCACATTTTGAGAAAGTTACAAGCCGTTTGACAGCAGCAAATCTGCATATTTCACAGAAGGCCCGTTTAGTGGTTTTGCAAATAATTAACCACTCTCTGTTTTTGTACCATTCTGCGTTGAAGTACCTTTCTCTTTGCCCAGACGATCTAGCGGTCTCCTTTTTTTCGACAGTTAGCTGTACAGCTTTACCCGCCTCAATGTCCCGACAACAAACCTCCAAGCAGTCGGAACCAGCCTGTTTCGGTTCAACGACGGCGGTGGGGGTGGTTTTGACAGTCTCTGCGGCCGCAGAGCTGCTGCTTTTGGGTTTATCTGGCTTCGCTGGTTCTTCTATGATTGATGAAGGTCGAGGCTCCGGAGAAGTGGATGTCAGGGATGTGACCTTCCAGTTGTTAAATGTAAGTTTAGAATGACTGTATTTAGTTTTCTTCTGCACTGGTTCTTCTGACTTGTTTGCAAGTGTATCTATTCTTTCTATCTGGTTAACGGCTGAAACACACAGAACAACGTAACAAATAAACTAAACAACGTAACAAATAAACAAATCTAAGCTTTTTTATTGGTTGTAATTTACATGGATACATTTGAATGGTGTGACAATGTCCTATTTGATTGGGTTAAAATGTACATATTCTTCCTGTTATGTCTGCCTGCTTTATTTTACATAATGCAAAGTGACCTGCTCCATCGAAATTACATTTTGAATTGTATACACTGTTGGAAAGAAGAGATTCCTAGCTTTCTAATGATATCAGGATTGTTTTTGTACTCCAAATATTAAGCAAAATATGTCACATTATATAATGACTGTCACAGAGTCATCATTTTGAGAAAAAGGCCTTTAAAGTTTCCTCTTCTCTGGAAGCGGAGCAAATGATCAAAATAGTAACGGAGGGGAAGATATTTTCGTTTGGATTACTGGTCTGGAGGAAGCCCACGAGTGTGTGTGTTTGTGTATTTTTGCGTTTGTGTGTGTATTGTGTTTGTTTCCCGGGGAAAACACTCACGAGAAACACCGGCTGTTGTTATGCCTGCTGTGACGTTACGTTACTCCGGTCTCCGCTTGTAATTATGCCGTTACAAGCTTTCAAAGTTGTATTTATCATCTGAATTTGCCGAAACAAGTTTAATATTCTGAAAGCCAAGACTTTGTTTATTTGAAATCAGATACAAACAAACTGTAACGGACCTTGCCGTGTTATATGATTACTATACGCCTTACATTCATAATTTCAGCAGAGGGAGGGGAAGCGGCTGTGGAACAGCAGAGTGGCGAGTGAGAGCTGTCATCTTCCCTTTACAAGCTTCAAAAATGCCTGTAGCTAATGAGATTGAATATAACAATGAAAAATAACAAAAAATACAGAGCTGGATCAGATCGCGTTTTAGATGCAACTTTAGAGTAGAGGGGAATTATTGAAACGGGATTTGTACAGTGTTCCGCGGCATTCCGCGCCCTTGCTGACAGCCCCGCTCCTGCCGCTTGCTTGCGGCACACTACACTTGAAAGTTTGTCGGGGAGACGCATGGACACTTCTACGAGCAGCAAGCTTTTAACAGCGATAGCTAAATAGGTGGCTACAGCTTAACATTGTGGAGGACGAGGGGCTTGCGTTAGATAATTCGGATCGCATCCAACGTGTCGACTGCACATCACAGCGCATTATTTTGACCCACAGTGCGAAAGTCTCATGCTTTAAATGAAGATGAAGACAGAGGAGTGGCATTTCGCCGACAACTGTAAACAGGCTTGTCTGTTTGAGCAACTGGCAGAGTGCAGAGAAGTAGACAGGGGTTGGGAGAGTGTAAGAGAGAGAGGTTCCAGGTGGTTGTATTGAAAATATTCAGGAGAACATTTGTCATTGTTCAGAGGTTGTTGTGTTGAGAATATTCAGGAGAATATTTGTCATTGTTCCAATGATAATAAACAACCATTTGCATAAAGCATATTTGTCCACTCATATGTTGATAAGAGTATTAAAAACTTGAAAAATATCCCTCTAAGGTACATTTAGAACAGATACAAAATGTGCGATTAATCGCGATTAAATATTTTAATCTACTGACAGCCCTAATTTCAACCAAATGTGAAGAGGTTACAGTTTTCAGGCCATGTCCAATATGTTTATGTTTTGTTTGAGTAAATCTACTGAAATTGGCATTCAATACAAATGTATTGCACAATAGCTGTGCTTTATTTTAACTGAGCTATGCCTGTGGCAAGCTATTAACAGGCATTACACTGTGCCTTGTCTTTTGCTTTTTTAGTGTAGTGGAGCCTCACTTAGAGCGTTTACCGCGATCCATCTTTGGTGTTATGAAGTGACTGAGCACGTGAACTGTCTACGGGAGGGCGGGGGGAGCCTCGCTGCGGGGGCAACTGTGGACCTCTGTCGCCTGTCAGCGCAACTTACATGATGCCGTTTAAAAAAAATGAAGGGCGGTGCCGGCCGTCAGCGTACCGAGCCGGCCGTCAACGGCCCGCTGACGACCGGCCGTTCTGTGATTCTCCAGACCACACTGATGGCCAGTCCGCCGCTGAATTCCACCGGGTCGCCGCGGCGCAGACGGACCCGGTGGAATACAGGGTCTACCGCGTTTAGGAACCGTTAAGCAGAACCAAAATTGTGTTTTTTGTATGGTTACCCGGTACCCGGCATTTTCTTATCGGTTCTCATCTGGAACCGAGTTTCGGTTCCCAACCCTAATTGCTACTTTGTTCAAGTAGTTCTCCGTTACCTATTTGCTTTTTCCTGCGTACCGGACCCTATCCTGCTAGCCCGTTTGCTACCAGCCTCCAGCCGTTGGCCGTCAACAATCTCGCCAACTCCCTGCCGTCAGCTGGCCACTAACATTGGACACCCTCGTCTCTGCACAACACAGCTACGGTGGGAAAAAATGTTTTTTTCACGAACACTTTCTTAGCTGTCTCCCTACTGGCTGACACCATCCCTGACTCCACCGTCACCCAGAATGTTTCTCCTACTGACCTGGTCAACACCTACAACAATGCTCTCTCCTCCTGTCTCAACCAACTCGCTCCAATAAAACCAAGTATGTCTCTTTCACTCACTCGGCCCCCTGGTACACCGATCATCTCCGTTGCCTCAAAAGGAAGGTCGCCAGCTCGAAAGACATGCTAAACGAACTGGTCTCACTATCCACAAAGACATTTATAGACTGCACCAACAGCAGTACAAAGATGCCCTCAACAGTGCACGCTCCTTCCACTACTCCTCTGTAATACAATCTGGCTGTTACGGTTTTGTATTTATGTTTTCATTTTCCACCTTTTGTTTTGAAATGTTTGCCTCCTTGTGTCTTCTCTGTTCCTTCTTCCTGTGTTTGCCTTCCTGTCATTAGTTCCCCTGGTGTGTCTGATTGTGTTCACCTGTTGCCCTTGTGTTTCTGCCTCTCTTACCCCAGCTGTGTCTTGTCTTGTGATTACCCCCTCCCTGTATTTAGTCTTGTCTCTTCCTGTGTTCCCCTGTCGGTTTCATTGTTGGTTTTTCCTGTCTTCCTCATGTCAGTTCACGGTTGTCTCTCCTGTCTCCCTCCATGTGGGTCACGGTCAGTTTTTTGTACAACCCATTTGTTTCATGCCTTGTTTTGATCAGCTTTTAAAATAAAGCTCGCTTTTTGTTACGAGACCTGTTACCTTTTTGATAGTCTGCATTTGGTCCTACCCTTCCACGCCATCTTAACAGAATGACCGACCAGCTTTGGACTCAGCAGACTCGGATCGTTTGCTCTACAGGCAGAATGTCTTGGGTACTCTCTGGAGTACATTTTTTATACCTGGAATGGCGCCTCTTCTAGACGTGGTAGAGAGGCTGCGTTGAAGGAGGAACGTCAGGAGGTTGCTCGCCAGCCCTGGCTTAGGAGCATGTGCCTGAGTGGCTACAACTTTTCACAAGTAGTCCTGAGGACTTGTCCGAAGCCTCTAACCCTTTCCTGGGGTAATGACCAGGCCTGGGGAGGCCCACAGATCCTCCAAAGAATCTCTAGGAGACGCAAGGACCAAGATTCCAGCCCGTGCTCCTAGTGGTTCCAGCTCCATTCTCTGGCCCTTTTTTGGGATCCCGCCTGGCGTTTGGAGGTCCACGGAGCCTCCAGGGGGCCTCGGAGAAACGCAAGGTCGGGAGGCCGGCTCGTGGTCCAGTACCGGCCCACACAGCCATGGATCGTGCACCAGTACCGGCCCACACAGCCATGCTTCCGTGCTCCATTACCTGGCTCACACAGCCAGGGTCCAGGCTTTCTGTTCCGTGCCCAGCAGCCATAGTCACTGCTCCAGAAACCGGACCTTACAGTCATGTTTCCGTTGTTCCAGTGCCGGTCCACACAGTCATGTGTACCCGTGCTCAAGTACCATCCCACACAGCCATGGTTCCGTGTTCCGGTTTCGTGCCCAGCAGCCATGGTGCCTGCTCTAGTACCGGCCCACACAGCCATGGTTCCGGCTCCAGAACCGGCCCATACAGCCATGGTTCCAGCCCCAGTTCTGGCCCCAGCAGCCATGGTTCCGGCCCCAGTTCTGGCCCAAGCGGCCATGGTTCCGGCCCCAGCAGCCATGGTTCCTGGCCCACTGTTTCCGGGTCCCAGCAGCCATGGTCCCGACTTCAGTTCGGCTCCAGTACTGGCTCCCCGGCCGACGCCAAGCGCCCCCGTGTCCTGTGCGGTGGTCCGGCCGACTCCAGCACACCTCGTGTCCTGTCGGTGGTCCAGTGCCGACTCCCAGCACCTCGTGTCCTGTCGGTGGTCCGGCCGACTCCAGCACCACCGTGTCCTGTCGTGGTCCTGGCCGACTCCAGCACCTCGTGTCCTGTCGGTGGTCCGGCCGACTCCAGCACTCGTGTCCTGTCGGTGGTCCGGCCGACTCCAGCACCCTCGTGTCCTGTCGGTGGTCCGGCCGACTCCAGACACCTCGTGTCCTGTCGTGTGGTCCGGCCGACTCCGGGCCCCCGTGTTTTGTCAGTGGTTCGGCCCACTCCAGCCCCTCGTGTTCTGTCGTGGGTCCGGCCGACTCCAGCACCCCGTGTCCTTTGGCTCTATGGCCGACGCCTACCCCATGTCCTGTGATGTTAGGAGGGTCCCGCCGACTACTCTTCTGCCGGGGGTCTTCCAACCCTGTGTCATGTGCCGTTGGGGGTTCAGCTGTGGGTCCTGCCAACCCCATGTCCTGTCCCATTGGGGGGTCCCGCCGACTACTCTTCTGCCGGGGGGTCTTGCCAATCCTATGTCCTGTCCCGTTGGGGGTCCCGCCGACTTACTCTTCTGCCGGGGGTCCTGCCAACCCTATGTCCTGTGCCGTTGGAGGTCCCGCCGACTACTCTTCTGCCGGGGGTCCTGCCAACCCTATGTCCTGTGCCGTTGGAGGTCCCGCCAACTACTCTTCTGCCGGGGGTCTTGCCAATCCTATGTCCTGTCCCGTTGGGGGTCCCGCCGACTACTCTTCTGCCGGGGGTCCTGCCAACCCTATGTCCTGTGCTGTTGGAGGTCCCCACCGACTACTCTCCTGCCGGGAGTCTTGCCAACTCCATGTCCTGTCCCATTGGGGGTCCCGCCCGACTACTCTTCTGCCGGGGGTCTTGCCAACCCTGTGTCATGTGCCGTTGGGGGTTCAGCTGTGGGTCCTGCCAACCCCATGTCCTGTCCCGTTGGGGGTCCCGCCGACTACTGCTCCGCCAGGTTTCCTGCCAACACCAGATCCTGTCCTGTTGGGGGTCCCGCCGACACCTGCTCCACCAGATTTTCCTGCCTACACCATGTCCTGTCCTGTTGGGGGTCCCGCCGACACCTGTCCCGCCGGGGGTCCTGCCAGCTCCATGTTCTGTTCTGTTGGGGGTCCCGCCCGACACCTGTCCGCCGGGGGGTCCTGCCAACTCTGTGTCCTGTCCTGTTGGAGGTCCCGCCGACACCTGTTCCACCGGGGGTCCTGCCAACTCTGTGTCCTCCGTTGGAGGTCCAGTCAACACCAGCCCTTGCTCCATCCGGGGTCCCATTGACACCAGTCCATGTCATGTCCAGGATCCCGTCTACGCCTGTTCCGTCGGCTCCGGTTCCTGTCTGGCCGACAACGGGTCCTGCCCGGCCTCCGGAGCTGTCCCGTCAGCGCCTTCCTGCCCGTCCTCCGGAGTTGTCCCGTCAGCACCTTCCTGCCCGGCCTCCGGAGCTGTCCCGTCGACGCCTTCTTGTTCGCCCTCGAGCCCGGCCCCCTGAGTGCCGGGGCCTTCGCCCTCGAGCTCGGCCCCCTGATTTCCCCAGCCGTCGCCTCCGCCCTCGAGCCCCGGCCTCCTGACGCTTTCAGCCGCTGCCTTTGCTCTCATGCCCGGCCCCCTGAGTTCGCCCGCCTGTGGTCTTCGCCCTTTTTTGAACTCTGCCTTGCCCCCGGGCCGTCCGCCCGAGACCCCCCTCCTTGATCTCTGCCTTGCCCCCGGGCCGTCCGCCCGAGACCCCTTCCGGGTCCTCCGCTGTGCCCCTGGGCTGTCAGCCCAAACCCGTCCTCCAGACCCCCTCCACCCACCCTGCTGGAATTTTTTTGACTTTTGGGGGTTTTCTTGGGACGTCTGGAATCCGTCCCTTGAGGGAGGGGTTCTGTTACGGTTTTGTATTTATTTTTTCATTTTCCACCTTTTGTTTTGAAATGTTTGCCTCCTTGTGTCTTCTCTGTTCCTTCTTCCTGTGTTTGCCGTCCTGTCCATTAGTTCCCCTGGTGTGTCTGATTGTGTTCACCTGTTGCCCTTGTGTTTCTGCCTCTCTTACCCCAGCTGTGTCTTGTCTTGTGATTACCCCTCCCTGATTTTAGTCTTGTCTCTTCCTGTGTTCCCCTGTCGGTTCATTGTTGGTTTTCCTGTCTTCCTCATGTCAGTCACGGTTGTCTCTCCTTGTCTCCCTCCATGTGGGTCACGGTCAGTTTTTGTACAACCCATTTGTTTCATGCCTTGTTTTGATCAGCTTTTAAAATAAAGCTCGCTTTTTGTTACGAGACCTGTTACCTTTTTGATAGTCTGCATTGGGTCCTGACCCTTCCACGCCATCCTACACTGGCAGCAATAACCCAAAGTCCCTTTTTTCTATTAACAAGCTCCTCAAGCCCCATAACACGCCATGATAATATCTCACACTCCTTCACCACCTCAAAGTGTGAATCCTTCCTCTCATTCCTCCAAAGCCAAAATTGAAATAATACACAGCACACAGGCCAACTCCTCCGTCTCGTACCACCACCCATGCTTTTCCGGAACCTGCCTACCCTACTCCTTCCAGGCACCCTTTTACAGCCTTCAGACAAATTACCTCACTGGACCATAGTTGCCCAAGTCACCGGCATGAATACCTCAACTTCCATCTGGACCCCATGCCCCTCCACCTCTTGTCAAGGCCTGCCTCCCCCAACTCACTCATCTTATCACCACAGTCATTAACTCCTCTCTGTCCACTGGACTTGTCCCCTTGCTCTGAAACTCGCTGCTGTCACTCCCATACTCAAAAAACCTGGTCTCAACCCTGATTCTCTCAATAACTTACCGACCCATCTCTAACTTCCCCATTCTGTCAACAATTCTGGGACCAAACTGTTGCCTCCCAACTAAAATCCCATCTGGACTGCAATAACCTTCATGAACCTTTTCAATCTGGTTTCTGTACTCGCCACAGCACAGAATCTGCCCTACTCAAGGTGACCAACGACATTCTCCTCTCTGCTGACTCTGGTTCCCGCTCAATTCTCATTCTCCTTGACCTAACAGCCGCATTTGACACGATCAGCCATTCCATCCTCATCAACCGCCTCCAGTCTTCCATTGGCATTACCGGTACTGCCCTCTTCCTGGTTTAAATCCTATCTCTCTGACAGACATCAATTCATCTCCATTAACAACTCCAAATCCCCCACAGCCCCCGTCAATCATGGCGTCCCTCAGGGTTCTGTACTTGGTCCCCTTCTGTTCATCATCTACATCCTCCAATTGGACAAATCCTCCTCCGTCAACACCAACTCCAGTTCCACTGTTATGCTGATGACACACAGCTCTACCTCTCAACAAAATCAATTTCGTCCAACCACACACTCCCAGCTCAGCACCTGCCTCACTGACATAAAATTTGGATCCAAAACAATTTTCGAAAACTTAACTGTGACAAATCGGAACTTATAATCATTGGCCCAAACTCACTTACCCGCTCAACCCAAGATTTGTATCTTACCATCGATGGCTCCATTGTCAACACCCCTCCACTCACATCCGTAACCTTGGCATCATCCTCGACCCCACCCCTCACTTTCCTCCCTCACGTCAACCAGGTCACAAAAAACGCTTTCTTCCATTTAAAGAACATCGCCCGCATCAGACCGGGTCACCTGCATTCATACTAAAAAAACTTCAATATGTCCAAAACTCAGCTGCCCGCTTGCTCACCTCCACCCGGACGCTCCGACCACATCACCCCTATCCTCCATGACCTCCACTGGCTTCCCATCAAACACCGCATTGACAGCTAACCTACTGCAGCCCATCAGGACAAAGCTCCGGACCTGGGGTGACAGGGCCTTAACTGCAGACCCCCCCCCCACTCTGGAACCCCCTCCCCAGCCACGTCAGATCCGCCAACACTCTCACATCATTCAAACAATCCCTCAAAACTCACCTTTTCACTCTTGCCTTCAACTCCTAATCACTAAACCCCTTGCCCTTTTCCACCTAGCTTAGCACTTTCTACTTTTGTTGTTATTTTGTTTTACTTGCTTGTAAGCGCTTTGAAGCACCAGGAAAAGCGCTTTATAATGTAATGTATTATTATTATTATTATTATTATTTAGACGCTTCTTGTGAGACTTGTGTTTTGTTTCGGTAAAAATGGTTCGTATCGTCAGTTAGCTGAGTTTCTTCCCCTTAGGTGGGTATGACACATTCATGGAGGTTGTTAAAGGTTAAAGGTAGGGTAGGGTAAGTTTGAGAAACGGCTCGAGATACACTTTTTGTTATATTCCATGGAATGCTCTTAACATCCCGATAGCAATGAATATCTGAAGTGCTTTGACAAAAAATCCATTAAAGAATGTCATCTGTGGAAGCCGTAGTACTGTAAAAAAGCAACGACAATCATTTAGCCGGCCCCGGCCTAAAATAACTGGATGGGCCTAACCTGCCTGTCAGCCTTCCATCTGTGCACAAACGTATCTCGTGCCCTCATTGGTCATGTGCGCGTTCGTGTGTGGTTGGAGGAGGGGGCTCTGTAAGGAAGTGGCAGATTTTCTCCGGTTGTGTATTTTCAAATTCTAGCGCACTCGAGCTGGTTTCTTCTCAAAATTACCTACCCCAAACTTAAATGATTATCTGAATCTTATATTTGCATTTCATTTTTCCTGTTAGAATGGCCTTTCAAAATAAACAAGGCAGGGTTACATACTTTATTTAGATTTGTGATGAATGTTAAATTACACGGCTTAATTGATACTCGATTCTGATTGGATTAATTTGGAGATTGCAGAGGTTGTTAATACTCGATAACACACCGCTGCCAAGCAAAATAGTGCCCGGTGGAATTGACGATAGTTTTTAAGTCAATATAATCATTTTCAATTGATATTGTGAGTCAAGTCGTTGGTTTTGTTAAGTATGTAGCCGTGAAATAGGCGGATATGTGCAGCGAGGCGGTCATTATAGAGACATATCACCCTTAAGAGTTGTATTCATTATCCCTTACTTAAAACACAAAGTCTACAACCCAAAGCAGAACTTAAAATATGATTTTAAGGAATCTTCTATAATCCAAAAATCTAATATTGTGTCTTCCTTCACTCAGAGGGGAAGCTGTACATACGTCGGGCCGAAGAAGGAGGAGAAGAGGGAGGTGGTGATCGAGGCGGAGAGGAAGAGGCAGATTTTCCTCGACTGCCACTTATCAACGACATCGGTTCATCACCTCGGCCAGAAGAAGACCGTGCACCGAATCCAGAGCAAGTACTACTGGCTGGGCATCATCAAGGACGTGGTGGACTGGGTACGTTCGTCTTTAATGCAGTGGTGCAGGAATGAGTCCTAAAACCAAGGGATGAGTCAGCATTGTATCCCTTCCTGTCCCCTGGTGTTGAAGTTTTTTCTGAATGTGTTTTAGGTTATTATCCTGAAATAAGGTCTGAGGTTGACCACAAGCTGAAGAGATTTTCCACTTTTAGTTTTACGACATAAAATACATCAGTAAATAACCCACTGGTCGGTTGCTAACAAGTGTCTAAAGGAGACGACTAAAACGCCATCACGCCCAACATTAGCCACCTTTAGCTAGCGGTGGTGACGTGAAGTCATGTGACCGTGCTGTAGTTCCTTTATAGGCCCAACATTAGCCCACCTTTAGCTTAGCGGTGTGACGTGAAGTCATGTGACCGTGCTGTAGTATCCTTTATAGCCCAACATTAGCCTCCTTTAGCTTAGCGGTGGTGACGTGAAGTCATGTGACCGTGCTGTAGTTCCTTTATAGCCCAACATTAGCCTCCTTTAGCTTAGCGGTGGTGACGTGAAGTCATGTGACCGTGCTGTAGTTCCTTTATAGCCCAACATTAGCCACCTTTAGCTTAGCGGTGGTGACATGAGGTGCGTTCACACCGGAGTACTTTGGTGTACTTTTCCCACAATAGTTCATCAGAACTACGATATATTTGCGTTCACACCAAAAGCCCCAGGAACTAAAGTAGCTCAACTTAGTTCGCGAGACTCGCTTTTCAGTCCCTGCTACAGAGCAGGGTCTGTCGTGGGAGAATGTAGTTCGTACGTCTGATTGGCTGTGCGGAATGCATTCCACGCCCGTTTGACTCAGAATTTTTTGTTGTAAGCGGCCATTGTATTTCCTCGCTGGACAGCACATCCGAAGAGATTCCTTTTGTGAAAGCAGTTATTATAGCAACACTAAATAAATCAATTGGAGTGATGAGGATGTGTCTGCGCTTCTGGCGATTTACTCGAAGGACGCGAAGCGCCACATTCTGAAGCTTCTACTGCATGCAGTTTCAGTGGATCAGCAAAGTTAGCAGACCTGGCAAAGTCATGTCGGGACGACTACGAAGGTAAAATAAAATACATGCACTGCACTGTTTTAATCTGCACAATACTGGTCTTAGATGTACTTTTATTTTGCTCAGTAGATCGAGCTAGCCATGGTAGAACTTGCTAACGTTAGGTCCAAGCTGGCTAATAACATCTAGCTAGCTAGCTATTCTCATCCATGCCCGCTATGAACACGTTTTGACTTGTGAATAAGTGTGCAATGTTCTGTAATTTGCTTCACTAACTCATGGCACTAATCGTGTGTTTCAGGCGAGGTGTTTCTCTCAGGATTAGAAACTAGTTTTCCCCTCCGGGATAAAAACGATAATATATCGTTAGCAATTAGCATGCTAGCTGGACATAATGCTACCTCTGTGGCTAATGCATAGAGGTAAACAACAGATTGTAGTTGCTATAATTTCAAGTAATTTGCAACATTCATTCTACATGTTAATGGTAAAAGCTTAAACAGTTGATTACCTGCATGCCACAAAGACTGATGTTCTAATATTTTTGCACATTTAAGTAGAAATGTAATTGAAATTCTATTTTACTGTCTAAACATTGTTCCTTCTCATAGTATTATCCTAAATAGTTTGACCTTGTTTCCTCAGAAGGCTTCTCAGACTACATGGAGGATCCCTCAGAGAAACACAGTTTCCACGTTCAGTTCCCCCCCGCTGAGAGTAGGCAGCCCTGCGCCCGGTCAGCGGACACCATCAGGACCACTATCTGATCACACTCATAAAAACGATTTCAAGCCCTTCTTAGACTCTGACACAATAAACACATGTTCGCTTTATTAAATATTTTTATTTAAGAAATAAACCTAAGTATAGTCATTAGTGTAACACAAATTACAGTAATCAATTCACTTATTAATGTATTTAGGACAGATCAACTCAAAATGAATTGTTTTCATCTGGGGACCCGCCCCTTTGCACATCCCCCTTTGCACATGCGCAACATCCGTTCTGTCTTTTACCGCCTTTTGTCTGACACTGACTGTGGAAACTGACTGTGGAAAGTCTATTCTTTTGGTAAGTATTTCATTTAGTAGTTTCTTAGTGTGTAGTAGTTTAGAACGTACCCTGTTTCCAAGTAATGCCTTTTCATAATATCAACAAGAATATTTGAAACCACCGTGTTATATTTGCTTTTTAGTTGGGGTCTAAACGGGAAGCTAGCTATAGACTAGCCAAATAACTGGTAGCTAGAAGCTAGCTTGCTACATGTGGGTAGCATTGAATACCTGCGCTGGGATAATGGAGATCAGTAGATTGTATTATATTAGATTTAATGTTATTGTCATTGAACACAGTAGGGCCTACACCAAAATTCAGTTTATATCCAACCAAAAAAATGCAAAGAGTAATTAAAGTGCATGAGGTAACAGTATAGGGGGCAGAGCATGCATGCCCCTGCAAGCGCCGCCATTTTCTATTCATAAAGCTCTGCAGGTCTGTCCACCTCTCCTGGGCCTTAGTTTCAGGCAGGCAGAGGAGGACAGGTGAAGCCACTCGTTTCTGTAGGAGTTCAGTTGAGTTTAGGCACTGGTCTTTTTTTTTACTGCCAAATATTTAATATAAATAATGAGATAATATATGTGCTGAATCTTTTATGGGTAACCTCACTCACAAGCAGGCACCCACAATTTGTGCAGAAACGTAGGCCTAAGTTACTTTTTTGATTCCATTTGACTTCTCAGAGGTAGTTTTTAATGTTCCACTCTGAGCCTGTTTTTCAGGTCTCAGGCTCAGAAAATGACATTCCCAGAACAAATGACCATATCTTCCCTTCTAAAAGGGTTAAATTAATAATCTTTTCTCAAAGTAATGATAAACCTGTGAGTTGGATGTAGAAGTGTCAGAATCAATATAAATGTTTTTTATTTTAAAGAAAATTCAGATTTTACATAGTAAAAAACTGTAAATTATAGTGTCCGTCCAAAAATTATTTTTTACAGATAGTGAAAACTACCCTTGGATGATGGGTTAGTAGACTAAAAGCTTTAGGAATCCAAAGTACAACATATAATAAGTACCCCTGTATCAAGATTGATGCAAAACAAGTGAAAATTTGACCTTTTTAGCGAGACTTAGCCAAAAACTGGGCCATCTGGGGTCATGTGGGTGGATTTGACCTATCTCTGGCCCCCCTTGCTCGATCTGGTTGGTTGACATACCCTTGTGACCGTTAGAGCCAATAGAATCGAAGGAGGAGACTCACATAGACACACATTGTAAAGAAAAAATGTTGCCGCTTCGCGTGTGGAAAGCGGAAACTAACTGGAGAAGTGCTTCCTTCTGGATGTTTGGAAACTAAAACGCAGTTGAGTTTGCTTATGGATTATCAGAAATCATTCAATCCCAAAGAAGGGCACAGACACATAGGATGAACATATGGATTAACTGCAGCAATCGTTTTTTTATCGATTTTTTTAATGCCATTTGAAGACCCACTTTTGACCAAGGTAAGCCATATTTACATGTTTAGCTTCTTGGCTCCACATGTGATGATGTTACGGCTTTCGTTTTGATAGCGTCGCGAATGTTGATTCACTGAGTGTTGAGGTGGGGCCGACGTTAGATTCAGGTCTCCAGGACACACAAAAGAAGTGTTTGGTTGTGCATCTAGGATAAGTAATAAGGGAGGTTCTGAGTGAGTTTATGTTGCCTTTGTAGGTTACGTTTTTTTCGTCGATGGCTAATTCAGAGGCTGGAGTGCAGCATTGTGGTTTTTTTTTGAAAAAAAAAATTAAAAAGATCAGTTAGCTGGAGTTCTTCCCGTTACATGGATTATAACACATCAATAGTTTTATTCAATATTAAGATTCCTTAGACGTTGTTTCCTGCCAAATGACGCGTTTTATCGCCCGGTACCGGGGGGAGTGAAGGCGTGAATGATGAAACAGGTTTTTAATTGCTGCATACTTTTTGCTAGTACTTGAGGGTTAAACCTTAGAAAAAGAGTCATCACTTTGAATTGGTTAGTCCACACTTAACACAATGGCTAATGCTAAAGCTAACGCAGAACTCCAACTTGTAATAAAGCTAAAGAGGCAGGAGCTAATTTATACAGAAGTATTTACAGCGTACAGTGCAGCGGGCTCCAGTGTGTCTTCTGTTCTGTGAAAATGTTAATAACAATAGCACACGGTTTTTTTTAACGTGCTTTTAAAACTAATACTAGTAGGGCTACTCTAGTACCCCCCCCCCCCATCTCTGTTGTAATTTAATATTCAAACTAACTAGGGATGCATGCGATGTTTTACTATGTAAAATGTAATAGTAGCATTTATGCTGACTGGGGCAGCCTTGTCCGTTTAAGACAGAGACGGGGGAATACGTGTGTGGCGCGTGCATGTGTAGAGCGAGTGAGAGGGAAGTTGAGCGAGCCGTAGTACGTTTCTGGAAGTTAACGGGAGTAGCAGCAGTATAACAAAGTCATAAATATAAAATACGGCCTCCGAAGAACATTGAATGATGTATTTCATACTGATCCTGCAGACACCCACTACACGGGGCGGAAGTCCTGCAGCATGCGCGTCCCCCCTGCAGCGCCAAATTACTTTAAAGTTACGGCAGACCCACAGTTACTCTACCCACTGAAGCACACGCACACTGCTTGCTTTCTCGCTGGACTTACTAGCTTTTCAGACCCTCTCAGCGACTTTATTTCTACAAAGCGACTAGCGAAAAAATCTAGCGGACGTTATTGAGATCACAGGGGGAAAGTGAGGAAAATCTACACCAATCTATTATATTGTAAGTTATTCCTTCGCTGTTCACTCAGTGGGGTCTCAGCACCGCGTCTCCCCCTGGCGCTGTGCGAACACAGGCACGAGTAGAGATTGAGTTACTATGGTTACAGTTACGCTATTTCGTCTGAAACTGTTCACACAAAGAAAAACTGACCTGATCCATTCAAACGGTGTCATTACTACAGAGATGCGGTATGTTCTTAGGTAATTACGAAGTGGAACATATGCTTAATTTAACAACATAACACACCTAGCATAATTATAGTATAAATGTGTATGTTTGTATGTGTTGACCGTATTTTATTATGTCCATAAGATCAATGGCATCCACAATCGAAGTTGAATTTGCCAATAATCCTACATCCCAATGTGGTAGTAATTCTGATAAACAAGTAACACATTGTTGTATTTGTTTGGTCAATAATATTTTTAAGGTGAATGCAGAGTTCTTGCGCATCACCACCAAGCCACTGCAATCGAAGTTCATGTATCAGCTGGACCACTTTTCCGACAAGCTGCTACAAATCTTCACCAGCAAAGCAGGACGTGAGTGAAGGGGGAAAAGATAAAGGAAGCCCTTGGCAATCACAGATTCGGTTAGTACCAAATGCATTTTTCTTCAGATACCCATGTCCTGCTTAGGGACATTTCGACTGATACAACCTTTCTGGTCTTCAGAAACCGCTCTGTCGCACCCACATTAACTAAATTCTGTCTTGATTTGTCGACCCGCTTTAGTGTGACAACATCAACACCAGGAGGGAGTGCATCCTGAGAAGCCTTGTAATATACCTAAAGGAAGATCCCAGCACCTCGTTCTTCAAGGAGTATCTGTAAGTTTATACATATTTTTCCCATGTAGCGTTGAACAGTGTTACCCTAACTTATTAATACCATGGCATATATTATACTACATATATATCTATATCCATTACCCAAGGCTAGGTGTCTATAATGTCAACTTCTCACTTGCGTGTATTACTTAAGTATCAATAATAAATAAATGTAACAATCAAATAAGGAAATAAATAAATAAATAATAGGTATGCAATAAATAAATAAATGTAAAAATAAATAAGGAAATAAATATAGATATTAATGAATAAATAAATGTATACATTAATTACGGGCTGAATAATTATATACCCTAAATAAATAATAAAATAATAAAATAAATACAGAAATAAATACATTTTAGCATAAATACATGTAGAAATAAGTAGGTAAATGCATAAATAAATAAGGCAATAAATAAAGTATCAATCTAATACAGAAAATTAAATAAATAAATTCTCAATAATAAATAAATGTTGAAATACATATAGACATAAGTAGGTAAATGGATTAATAAATACAGAGAATACATGTTTAAATTATTACAGGAATAAATAAATAATATAATAAATAGATTCTGAAATAAATACAGAAATAAATAGGTAAATGTATGAATAAATAAGTAAAAGTTGATAAGCAAACAGGACATACATGGATAACTATCTTTATTAGATTTAATTTATTTCTACATTTTTGTACAACTATTTATTTCTGTATTTTAGGCTCTGTATGTTGATAAGGTTGGAGGTCCTTATCTCAGTTTAAAGCAGTATTGGTCAATTAGGCGAGCCAGACAGAAGCAAATCTGCTTCTCTAAACTGCAGTAGATGGTTTAAGAATGCTTATTTAGATTTTCATACAGTTTTCTGTTTGTGGGGTTCAGCTTTTTACTTAACATAAGTGTTGTGTGTTTGTGTTGTTTTTCAGGCCTCCGCGCTGACGATGCAGAGAGGGACATTTCCAACACAGTCATGGGGATTTACACGATCCGAAGAAACGGGGATGGGGGGCCAGAGGACGTGGGAATTGTTATCGAAGGCATTAAAGTCATGGAAAACGTAGGCAGCGTCATTGTGGGACTCATCATGCTCTTGGGGCTCATGTATGCCCTTGATCTCAGCTTCCCGGACAACTTGAAGTACACCTTCGAGTTTCTACAGAAAGGTCGTAATGAACTTGGATGGGCACAAGCTGAATGCAAAAATACAGCAGCTGCAAATCAAGCTGTTTGCATAAGAGGTGAAACAACATGTGAAATAAGTGTATTGTCAAGTTTCCTTAACAAATATTTTGCTTTTTTGCTTTTTTGTAATTGTAGGTTTAAAGCAAATGGCTACACTACACTTATTCAATTACCAAATATACTGTAGGGTTTGTGCAGTGCACTCTTTATAAAAAACACCCAATGATATTCCCTGTTTGGAGAGCAGTGCAAAGCCTCCACCTTTAATAGTGTCTTTGTTGTTTGTGGCACTGGGAGATCTAGAATAGCTGCGTGTTCACTTTTCACCAGTTTCGGCACTGTTACGAGAGTGCTATTTGCACCACTCTTAAATTGTTCTTTAAAAAACATATTTGTACATCTTGCTCTGTGTATTCAAGTAAAGTTAATATTGAGCTGTGTATATAAATATTGATGTTGAATTGAGGATTACTGTCACCTTCCTCATCCATGATTGGTGTTATTATTATTTTTCTGAGTTGCTTTTATCTCCTGCTCAGTCTGTTTATTGATATGTTTTATAAAAAAAGAAATGCAGACAGACAAATAACTGATTGACAGAGAGCTGTGACACTCTGTTTACACAAGTAAAGGTGAGGATTGGCTATCCACCTCAAGGTGTAATTGTTATCTGAGAATTTTCAATAAAAATATCTCAACCAGGTTTTGTCTCATGAGTGTCTTAATGGGGGATAAAGTGAAAGAAAAAAATATTTTACGTTATTTCTTTACCAATTAATTATATTAGTTTGAGTTGGACAAATGTAAATTCATTTAATTTACGTAACATGATAATTTTATTTCAGCTGTATTTGATAAAAATGAGTTGGACTAACTCAATTCAATTTTATTAAATGGATGTTCTTAGTTTCAGTTGGGGCTACGCATATTTATTGGATGGAAATCCTGCCCACAATTGAATTGAGTTCATCCAATGAGTTATTTTTTTGAGTGCACAGAGTATCCCATCCTGACCGCTGCTGCCATACTGCAGCAAACAGGAGGGAACGGAGGTGAAAACACACTTTATACATTTAGATATGTGGAGCACAAAGAAAAGTGTTGAGTTTAACTATAAAAATATTAGTTTCAACTAACCTAATTACCGTTATATGAACTTTGCTGTGTTTTTCAGCGTAGCTTTGGTAAAGGTAACATTTAGTAGCATCTAAACTGGTGGATAAAAAGTAAACCACATTGGGTTTGTTATTCAATATGGCCACCAAAAGCTTTTTGAATCATTACAGTGTCACTTGTTAGAGTGCTTTTATCCAAAAGCTTACGCTACTCAATACTGTGTGGCAATCCCCACAGGAGCACTTTGGGTGAAGTGTCTCGGGGACACAACGACATGCTACAGCACCCTACCCCTACACACTACCCCTCCGTTTGCGCGTTCGCGCGGAGGGTCCGCCACAGTGCTGTTCCAAACCAACGAGTGTGGAGGGGGAGTAGGCTATCAAGCCCTCAAACAGCGAGTCTGCATCAAGCCCCCAGGAAGTGCGCCGGACTCTGATGAAAATATTCGTGCTGGCCAAACGGCGGTACTACACTTCCTTTTGGTTTGCCAGGCCCGGAAACACTTTTTCCCATTGACTTACATGGGGAAAGAGTGGTCTGTAAATCGTTGGATAATTTTTTTTAAACTAAATAAACTACCCAGTATGAACACTTGTATAGCCCTTATTAAAAACATTCGTTCCTCAAGTTTGTAAAATGTGCTAATAACGTATTCTGAGAGTTATTTCCCTCTGCATTATGAACGCGCATCTAACCCACGGGACCGCGCCGCCCGGCACGTTCATGTTACGTGTTCAGCACGACATGAGTTTATCTTTACCCATGGATGCACAATAAGAACGGACCCATATCGCCTTACTGCCAGCCACGGAGCTGTAATAATGGATATATTGCCACATGTTTGCTTGTAATTCATCATTTGTAAAATATTATACTACATGGGCTGTATGATTAAATCTTGTACCGTAAATGTTGTATTAAATAAAGTTAATATTACCGACGTAGATTAACGTCCCTGTAGCTTCTTATTGCACTAAGAAGCTTATTGCACTGTGTATATATATATATATATATATATATATATATATATATATATATATATATATATATATATACAGTGCAATAATTCTTTCATGCTAAATGAAGCTCTGTTGCTTGGATATCACTAGATCCTGTTACAGCGTAATATAAAAGTACATAACGATTGATGTGTAAATTAGCATAATTACTAGCTAACCGCTAGCTGCTAACTGCCGCCTCGTTAATATCAAATCTATCATAACAAACATTACCATGCTGTCATGAACGTGCGGTGTTGTTACGTGTACGCAAATTGACGTGCTTGATGTGAACGAGCATTTTGGGGGGCATGGTTAAAGTTGCGCATGCGCTATGAGCGCACATACGGGTACTTCTCAGGCATGCCGGGTAATCTGTGACGTTTCGCTCTCTCAAAAGTTGGGCCATTTTATCATCATGCGCGAATGAGCAACTCTCATAGGAATGAATGAGGCCCCGCCTCCCACGCTGTATCCAGTTCTTATTATACATCCATGGTCTGCATCGGTGCTGACTTGAGACCGGTCTCTACCTGACCGGAGTCACGCTGTGTGTGTCCGTCAGGAAACACGCTGTTAAAAAGTAGTTCCAGCAAACATCCACTGATAAACTGCGATGTTAACAACCTCATGATAACCTCATATTTTTTTAACTTAGGATCATACCTGTGTTTAGTCTAGAAAAAGGTAAATGTGTGCTTTTTATTATAAAGTTGTGTATATTACAGACTGTTGCAAAAACTAAGAAACTTATAAACATCAGGTTTAAAAACTAAAAGAGCTTTACCAAGAAAAGTAACACAATGAAAGATGTTTGGAGTTTTATTTGAGTTATTAATTTACATTTTTTGTCTAAGAGAAGCTGATTTGAAACCGTTGTTACATACAGTTACGGCATTTCCTGTTTCTGCCGGAGAGAGGGGAGTTTGTCCCAAAGCTTGCCGCTGTATTTACTCCCTCCATCTGACAGGAGGGAGCCTCGTTGAGCTGCGAGTGTGGCTACAGACGGAGTTCACTCCGTCACGGAGGGGTAGGGTCGAGGGAGTGGTTTGGGATTGGGCCTCAGAGGTGGAGATCGCCCACAGTGATGACTCTGACGTGGGGGGCTCTCTGTTATGGGCTGCTCCCCTTCTGGTATTTGGACAATGTTGTGTCGTTGTTGCGATTAAACTGATCTTGTATCTTGCATATTTCACCTTAGGAAAGTGGGCACGCGATGACAGCTTCCTTGACACCATCATGGCGATGGACTGCCGTGCCATGGTCAGCAAGGAGAATGAGGACCTGCGTGCCAAGGAGATGCACGACGAACGGCTGCTGCATTCACACAAGGCCCAGGAATCGGACGACCAGCTGCTCATGGTCCAGGTGGAGCAACAAAATACCTTTCAGGCTGGGCTTCTGGCAGTGCTAAGCGAGCTGATTAAATCCAACAGGCCTTCAATACAAAAATTAAGAAAAACTTGTCGTCGTTGATAAACTGTACAATGACTTGTTGGGAGGCGTGTGGTGCAGTGGTCTGGTGCGTTGGTGTTCGGATCAGGGGAGCACAGGTTCAAACCCCACTGCAGTCAGGATGTCGTTTGTGTTCCCTGGGCAAGACACTTCACCCCAAATTGCCTACACCTGGGACAGTTAATTTTGTATTATTGTGATTATATATATGCCACTGTTATTAATACTGACACTTCACTTTGCACTAAGGTGTGTCTGCTGCTGAGCCTACCTATTGTTATTGTTATTATATATATATATATATTTATTGCCACTGTTATTATATTGTTTTGATACTACTGACACTTATTGATCTGCTGCTGATAAATAAAAGAGAACCTACATTGCGATTAAACAGAAAATGTATCTTGCTTATTTCTCCTGACACTTTATCTTTTATGGTGACCTGTGTAGCATCCTATACATCACATGTAAGTGATTATTCTGATTACCATCATGACACCATGAAACTGGCGAAAGCTTTATTTATTGTGTCCCACCCCATATATGTGTCTTTGAAAAAGATCATTCAATTGTATTTCAAAATGGCGTCCATCAACACAAACACTATTTATAGAAAGATAAATGGTTAAGTTTGTAATTAACAGTGTTGTGAGTTCAATATTTTAATTAATATAGTAAGGGAACATAGGAGGATATATAATAAAGGTGTTAACTGCTGAGCCTATTTACTGTGCAATACTACAGACATGTTAGTGGTATTATTTCTTATCTAACTCTTTCCTATGGTCAGACAAATCAGAAGTCATTTAAACAATTTGAGATTGTTCTTTTTGTTTCTCAATTGATTTTTCCAGAATATGCACCACCTAGGCAGACTTTATATCACAAATAAATGAATGACATGTACTACAGTAATTGGATTATATTGATATTGCCTACTCAGATATAAATGTGTATAAAATGAAATCAATTCAAAGTTTCTTGCTGCTTTTAATGCAATTCATGGCTGCAGGGCAAACGTCCAAAATCCTTATTCTACAATCATTTAATCAAGACACTTGTGTATATTTTACTTTCATTTGTAATAAACAAAAAAATATGAATGGTTGTCATCAAGCTGGGTCGCCGGTAAGGCAGTCCATTCCTCCCTGTACTCATCACCACGACGCTCACACAGGTTATGCAATACGCAACATGCTGCCACCTGGATTTTGAATTGTCCATGTTGCAGTCGTTTCGCTTCAAGCACCGCATATCTGGAACACATACAAAGACACAAATTAGCCCGACATAACTCCATAAATCCTACATTAGATAGTATTAATGTGATTTACTGAACGTACCATTGCTGTTCTTTGGGTGTGATAACGGTCATCATCCTCAGCTGACGAAACATGTCCATAGCGTGT